AACCTAAAAGCGGGGACGATGTCAACTTAAAGCATTTCATAAAATGTGATTCCTGTACTAAATTTGTGTGTACTGTACATAGTACAAAAACAATTAATGCAATTTGTACACGCTACAACCAATATATATAATTAATATATAAGATTAACAGAAACCCTAAAGCCTTGAATGCATATTTTTACTGGAATGTTTACTTTCAACGAAAACTGTAGCTACAGGAACTATTATGAAGTCAAGATTGCCAGTTTCCATTCATTTCACACTTGAAAATGTAATGAAAAAAATGACGAAGGGTTCTAGTGAGCAAATTGTGAAAAATGACGAAAAAATAAACATTGTTCAATGGTATGACAAAAAATTCATACTGATAGCTTGAACACAACTCGAAGATGAACCTTTGGAAGAATGTAAGAGATGGTCAAAGAATGATCAGAAACACATTTCTATTCCCAGGCCTAATATTATCAAACAAAACAAAGACTGTGTAGTTGGCATAGATCTTATTGGTCGTATGATTAATTACTACAGAATCAACAGCAAAACTTGTAAGTGGACTGTAAAATAAGTTTGCACTTTTTGGATTTGTCATTAGGTAATGCCTGGATACTCTACCGATAAGATAGAAAGAAATTAAGAGATACTAGCAAAAGTGTCTTAGATTATCTAAAGTTTAAGGTTAAAATCGCTAATTAATTGCTTCAGGAAAAGTTAAAATTGTAGAAAATAATTCATTTCTTCTCAAAACAATAAATTCTTTGTAAAAAAGAAAGAAAAATATGCATTTACCAGCGGTAACAAGAAACCTTAGAAATTCGGTTCGCTGCAAAATAGGTGATTGTTCAAAAGAAACTAAGTGTAACTGTTCAAGCTGCGCAATATTTTTATGCGTAACTTCAGAATGCAATTGTTTCTTTGATTTTCATATGAAATTTAACTTAGAATAATAAAAATTTGTTGCTGACTTAGTTTGGGTAGTTTATATCAATTAAAAATTTTTTTCCGATGTGTGTTCTCTTAGAGAATCGTTTATCATATCTAGCACCAGTCATGCTCGGGCCTGAAGAAGATAAATAAGGTTTGGGCAAATTTTTTAGAATTAGGAACAAATTGTGACATTTTTACCTTGGTTGAAAAAATAAAATTAATTTTCTGAATTATCTCCATGAAAACTGGTCGAGATATTTCAAATTATATAATATTTTATATTATATCTCAAAACATTTATTTATCAAATCATGAAATTCGCATTGCTATATTTGAATTATTTTTTGTAATTGATCGCGTTTTCAGCGTTATTTTAGGTAAGGTAAAAATAAAACAAAAAATTTCTCAACTTTTTTTTGTATCAATCCAACAATTATTATACTTCGTTTTAAAGAGAAATATTTCTGCTTTAATTTTAGATAAAAATTATTTTTAATTTCCCTAAAAATTGCTTTTTGATGGTTTTAGGTCATTATTAGCTTTAATTCAAAACGGCGTTCGAAAAATTCTGCTGTATAAAGAATATTCTTGTTTACTTATTAATTTGCCTTAACCGTTATTAACTCATCGCCGATGGTTACCAAGCTTCTTAAAAAATTAAATATACAGGGTGATATATAACACGAGTGCAATATTTTGGATTCTGATACAAAATAAAATTTTAAACAAAGAAAATAAGAATAAAATTTCCACGTTTTCACCTTTGCTTACGAGTTACACAAGTTTAACACATTTTAGCACATAAACTTTATAGTTAATAATCAAGGACAGTAGAATCTAACAGGACTGCTACATCCATTGTATTTTTGTAGCCCACTGCAGGTTGGTTGCCCGCACTCTACGTCACACTATTTTCCACGCCTGGTAACTGTCTGTGTTTTTAGAAGTTATATGATAGACATTAATACGTCTAAAAACATAAAACTTCAAAAATAATATGAATACCTCTACGATATAACCTCTAAAAATACACAGCAAACGCATAGACCACAACAACAGCTGGACGTGGCAAATGGTGTGACGTAGTTTGCGGGCAGGTTGTCACAACAATGGATGTAGCATTGGTTAATAATAAATAATAATATATTTTTGGAAAAAAGAGTTGTCATGAAAACGCAGTAATGTAAATAAAGTCAATTTCGCAATGGTAAATTGTTTAAAGTCGCTTACATTCAAACACTTTTAGTAATCATGCCACACGCGTTTTTGCCTTTGTTTATGAGTTATATAAGTTTTAAAACGTAAACTTTTTAGCACAGAAACTTTATAATTAATAATAATGCAATTGCAATAATAAAGCAATAATGTAAATATGTTTTAATATTGTTTTTACAAAAATTGCTCAAAATGATTTCTATTTCTTTGGATACATTCCTCACAGTGGCGTACCAATATGAACAAGGTCTAATGTGAGAAAAAAGACTGAGAAAAGACTGCTCGAGACGGCTGCCTACGATTTGGGAATCTTCGGCGATATTCTGCAGCAACTGCTAAGGCGCTTCTATTACAGAAACCATAAAAAAATAATATCCCCATACTCTTGGTTAGCAAATTCTGGCATGATTACTAATAAGTGTTTGAGTGTAGGCAACATTAAATACAATGTTGGAAATAATTCACGAGCACACCCTGTATAATCTGAACGCGTGTGTCTAGCGCAATAAAATTTGGTATGGAAGTAGTACTAAAGTAGTGTAACTTACTCTTACATGGAGAGCGGCACAACTCTGCTGGGAAGAGAAACATCAGTAGCGAGAGTATCCCCCGTGAGCTTCGCATACCATCGCTATACGACGTGGCATGGAGTCTATAAGTCGCTGTATTGTAGCAAGAGGGATGGCCAACCATGCCACCTCAACTCGCCTCTATAGCTCCTCAACGTTAGCCGAGGAAGCCGGATAACGTAGAAGTCTCCGACCAGTCATTTCCCAAACATGTTTGATCGGATTCAGATGCGGAAACCCAGCTAGCCATGGAAGCATTCGTATACGGTGCTCTTCCACAAAGGTCTGTACAACACGCCCGATGTGCTGTCGTACGTTGTCGTGCATGTATAGCAGAGCTGGGAGCCGCCGAACATAGGGAAGCACAACGGACCGTAGCACCTCATCTACGTATCGTTGACCCGTCATGGTCTACTATACACGCAACAGACGTGTACGTCCATCATGTGTAATAGCACCCCAAACCATAATGCTCGGTTGTCGGTGGATAGGGCATTATTGCACGCACTGCTCGAGTAGACGATCACCACGTCTCCGACGAACTAAAATTCGCGCATTTCCGGTGCTCAATTCGAATCTTGATTCGTCGGAAAACAAAATGTCCCTCTACTCGGCAACCCACTAATGCCTAGCGTTGACCCACTCGTGACGTATGCTGCGGTGCTCGGGTGTTACTGGAATCCGCTGTATCGCACGACGCGCGCGCAGTCCACTATCTACCAAACGCCGCCATACAGTTCGCGTAGTGAGTGAGCCTTCCCCTGCCGGTGGCCAAACAGCTCCAAGTTGCCTTGAGGAGGACGCACACGACGCTAAAGCGCTGAGCACAAGAGTGCGATCCTCGTGTGCTGGGGTCGCGCAGGGCCGTCCCGGCCGCGGCTGTAGGTACCTATGTCCTACCTCAGACCATTCTCGCCATGCCCGTTGCACTGCCGATAACGACCGCTCGAGACGACGCGCAATTTCACAGAACGATACACCCTCAATGTGCATACCCTCAAACATTCCTCGCTCAAACTCGCTTAAGTAACGCGATCGCCCATCCATTGCGCACATAGTACGATAACAATGTGGTTCCTCACACCACACTAAAAACGACCGTCTCCATAGCGACGGAATGTTCCACTTAGAAGAGCGGCTCAGTCAACAATGCCGCGACGGAACAACTCGAAATTCGATAAATAAACTCGTCTACAGTAAACCTGTGTGCTCCGCAAATATCATGGATTTATCTTCACGCGTTCAGATTATATAGGGTGTGCTCGTGAATTATGTCCAACAGTGTAATTTGTCATGGCAACTCTTTTTTCCGAAAACATTAACTATAAAATTTCTGTGCTAAAATGTGTAAAACTTGTATAACTCGTAAATAAAGGCGAAAACGTAAACTTTTTTTTTTGTTTAAAATTTTATTTTACATCAGAATCCAAAATAGTGCATACGTGTTACGTATCAATTTTTTAATAACCCTGTATACAATATAGAAATGGAATTCAGTGTTCTCTTCCCAACTATTGTTTGTATCAAAATTTTTTTCAAATAAAACTTGTTAAGAATTATAAAAAGAACAACTTTTCCTAATGCCATTTACTAAATTTTCCTGAGGTAATTAGATTCAGTCGACATACTGATAGCTTCAACACAACTCGAAGTTGAACCTTTGGAAGAATGTAAGAGATGGTCAAAGAAAGATCAGAAATACATTTCCATACCCAGGTATAATACTATCAAACAAAACAACGACTGTGTGGTTGGCATAAATCTTATTGGTCGTATGATTAGTTACTACAGAATCAACAGCAAAACTAGTAAGTGGACTGTTAAACAATTTTGCACTTTTTGGAGGTGTCATTAGGTAATGCCTGGATACGCTACCGATAAGATAGAAAGAAGTTAAGAGATACTAGCAAAAGTACCTCAGATTATCTACAGTTTAAGGTTAAAATCGCTGATTAATTGCTTCAGAAAAAGCTAAAATTGTAGAAAATAATTCTTTTTCCCTGGTACAATATAGAAATGGAATTCAGTGTTATCTTCCCAATTATTGTTTGAATCAAAATATTTTTCAAATAAAACTTGTTAAGAATTAAAAAAGAACAACTTTTCCTGATGCCATTTACTAAATTTTTTTGAGGTAATTAGATTCAGTCGACATATTTATTTTTACCATTTTTTGTTTTGTTTTTTATGTGTTTTAATTTCTTTAAATATGCTTTAATGATGTTTTAAAAACTTTGAAAGCATTGCATAAACTTTGCATAAAAGTGTGGGTGTGTTAATACTTACATTGTTTTAATTAATCTATATAGATATAATAATTAAAGTACAAAATGTTTCGAATACACCTCTGTATATAAATATATTTACCTCTTTCTCCAAATAACCGGCCCGCAGCGCTATCTGGTTCTCTTTCATCCGACGGGCGTCCCGTGACCTCTTCGCCGCCAGGTTGTTCTTCCTGCGTCGCGCCCAGTATTTGTCGTCTTTGAGGTCATCAGGCACGAACTGCTTACGGGACTTCTTGATGATGGGCTGGGGTTTCAGCTCTTCGTCTGAAAATGCCCTTGTCCGTGGATCAAAGTCGCGACAACTTGAAGCCATCGACAAAGCTTCAGAAAAAACTACATTTTAGACATTAGTATGGTGTAACAACCACGAGAATCCTGGCGGTCGCCTTAATAAACTTTGCGCCCGACACGCATTGTTGTTCGATGGAAATCGTTCCATCGTTCCCGAAGGTCTCCAACGGTGCTCACGTCGACTCGGGAAAATTTATTAAGGCTTTAGAATGCACCTTCCAGCAATTACATGAACACAAAACAATTGCAGTCTTGCCATTCAACGAGGTTCTCGTATGTGATGCAGAAGTCTTTTAGATTAACGACCTCGTCACAGTTAAGAGGTAATATTCACGAAAAAAAATTTAATTTTTTATGAAGATTAATTACTTAACTAACCCATATTGTTAAAACAAAATATGTACATTATCATAAATAAAGTACCAAAACCCAACCCATGCTATTATTAACCATTCCTAATAAACATGCAACGAATAATATCAAGTTGCAACTCATAAGTGAAATCATCATAATTATTTCTGTATACATTCCAGTTGGCAAGTGGTAAAGCTGTATAATTTCTTCATATGCAAAATCTGGTTGTGATGTCATTATTTGAAAAACGTTGCAAACAATTACCCAAGAAGGTGTCAAATATAGCAGCTACAAGTAACAGAAAGTTTCAATCTAGAGTTTAATTATTGAATCATTGAGTGTAGAATTAAATAAAATTAATAATTTTTATATAAATTTTAATAATTATTTCTCCAATCATCGATTCAATACCTTCATGTTACAAAACCTTTTTTACCATTTTAATTCCAAGTTATTATTCCTTTAATTATTGCTGGAAGGATACATCGCGTAAGATTCGTATTAGATGCTTGATTAATAGAAGAAACTAATGAATTGAATGTGAGTGATTTCCGAAAACCAAGTAGCTACCGATATCGCGTGATCGAAACAAAACTCACTGGAGTCTGCAGGTGATGGAGGGTTCATGGTATCCGGGCTTAGACAGTCGGGACTTGGAGATCGCTCTCGTTTGGGTACTCCATGTGAGCTTCCAAGGGGTCCCATCGAACCGTGTGACCCCAGACCATCCATAGAGACACCGTTTTCCGAAAGGAATTCGTCCAAATCGACATACTAAAAAATTTTTAAAAAAATGGTTATAAAATTAAAAAACTTTATGTTTAATGATTTACCTTGAGGTCTGATTCGTACGTCTTGTCCCAAAGGTTGGGACCGAGAAAAGCGGTTTGAGCTTCCACATTACTCCAAAGTTCGCCATCGTCCTTTTTGTCGTCGTTGCAAAGAAGGGAACCAGCTATTTCCTTGATTGCAGAGTGACCGTGACCGTGTGGATGAGAAGGTTTGCTATTCCCTGAAAAATCGATAATAACGTTAGCTTACCGCTGTGACCTTTCACCTGTTATTAGCTAATTGCTTCCCTATATCATTTTAATCGCAATACTTTATCAGTCAATATATCATCGTTGATAAACATCTTCATTTAATTAGAATATTACACTTTTTTATCAATTTTTAATATATCGTTTCGGTACTTAATCGACTTTAATTTAAACTGTTAAATGGAATATCACGGCCTGGCACCAGTTAAAAACCTACACACACGCTTGGCAAACGTTTCTATAAAAAACGAACACTTCACTATATGCAAATAATAGTAAATCCGACCGTTCCAGCCGTACGTTCGCAGAAATCTAGGCATATCTTGCACCGTTTATAAATTATTCATAGAATAGTTATACAAAGTCAAGACAGCTTGCCTGTTTCCAACATAGAAGTCGATGTAGTTTCGAAGTTTATTCACTGTAGCTTGCCGCCGTCAATAAATAAACACCCATGCCGACCCATTATTCGAGTTCCTTTTCCCTAATAAGCCCAGGCAAGTGTAAACAAATCCGTAAACAAACGGCGACCACCGTAGTAATATCGCGATTAATTAGGCTTCATTGTTGCTCAACGGACGGCACATTGTTGTGTGGACGTTATTGAGAAACTTCTTTTTTTTTTGAAATCACCGTAAATTTGCTCTTTGGCAGTGGGTGTTTATATGTGTTACATTGCCAAGACAATTGCGGTGTTTTAAACGCCACATTACTTTGTTGAAATATGTAGAATGTTTTATTCTTAAGCGGTTGAAACATAGTCTTAATAAATTTTAACTACGTACTGTAATAGTTTTAAAGTTTAACATTCCAAACGCATCGCGTTAAAGGAAACTATAACTAATATATTAACTTACTAATACATAGTCGTTAATTCTAAATTAATTGCTGGTTAGTTACTAACAGATGTTCCGGTAGAGAACTGTGTACTTATTAGTTTATGAGTCGATTTGATAATTTTGTACGCTATTTACAGCTTGGTTTTGTAGTAATTAAATGTTACTGCGTGTGTAGATTGTAAATTACGAATCTAATGATGTAATATATTAATAGTCCTAGTGAAATAATTTATGAAAAGTTTGACGTTTAATGATTTCATATTTTTTATTGTAACTCTTTTTAATTTAATATATAAAAATTTTAACTCCATGTTTCTTATAACTTTAAAAAACTTAAATGTTTATTATTGTTGATATTTTACATAACGAATGATTTTTTTTTTCTCTTTGAACCGACAAAAAACTGTAAGGAAGGAAATTTAACAAAGAAACTATTACAATTTTGTTATATTAACGATTTAAAATTTTCTGTCTGTTCAGGTCTGATGTAAATTACGAAATGGGAAATATCGGGATGCACTAAAAGCCGCTTTAAGGCTTTAACAGCGGATGATATTGAGAGCAATTAGAATCAGTGAAACCAAAAGGTCGTAGAAGACATCATAAGCGATTGAGACCTCTTCAAAGAAAGCGAAAGATATTGAAAGGTACTGAGAATACATTTTAACTTTTAGAAGCTCCTTACTTTACCTGCCCTAATACCCCAACCCAACCCAACACACTCGAGTGGAACGTGCCAATTATGCTTGAGATGTCAGTTCGTGTGGATTTGCCACAATTTTGTGTGCATATTAATATTCACAATATTCACAAAACATCGGTTTTTGCATCAGTTACCCGTTATTCTTCTATTCTCATTGCTATATTAAAATCAGTGGACTCTATTCTTATTTCTAACACTTTTAGGCCACCACTTTGCATATTTTTTTCTTTCCAGACTATGATATATGTTTAGCAGCTCTTAGTTGTATTTGATCAACAGTTGATGGTGTTATAAAGCTCAGTAATTTCGGGTATTTTAACCTAGCAGATTATGTCTCATGCCTATCTAAATTTTAGAACATGTTATGCTTTGCAAAAATCAGGAATGTTCATGACTTGCCAAGTTATGGAAAAGTATCCACCATCACTACATTGGATTGAGTTTAAATCGGTATTAAAAGATCATACTCGCAGGAAACACGAATTTTAAACTGACAAATATCAATTTGCTAGAACTGCTTACTGCTTAGGATCACTCACTTACCAGTATACATAGTGAGTAGGTGTGTCAAAGAATCTTTATATAGTAATGAATAAAATCGAGTACACCACCTCATCTAAAAATTCTAACAAAAGTCCGAACACGAATCTGATGGGATTTATCGATGAAGAATTTTGTCCTGTAAAGCACTATTCAGATCCTACAACATCCTTCAGTAAGATTGACTTTAGAATTATAATTCCAACAGCATCAAGTTTTCCATATTTCTTAAATTGTCTGTAAAAATACGCAAACGTCCTCGGAATGTTTTATATATGAAGAAATAGATTTAGTCTGACACTTCTCTACTAGTTCCGTGATCCATGACCTGGAACCCAGAGCAGGGCTCCTGTTTTCATCCCCAAGTGTCTTGAATGAATGTTTTCTTCATGATATGAATAAGAAGATAAAGAGTTGGAAGGTATTATAGGGTGTTCTGTATACAAATCAATTTTACGCTATAAATTTCACGTAGAGAATAATACCTGTTATGCATCAGATTTGGAATTTTATTATGAGAGGCAACTGAAATGTTTTCTTTTTGCAGTTAGTAATAAACCTGTAGATTTAGAAACGCTACGTAAGAACCGCAAAAAGAAATAAGCCACAAATTCCTTTCACAAAATTTTCTTGAAATGAAACTTGTCGTTGCTCCAATCACTTTTAGTTTTAGTTAATTGTTTAGCATGTATTGTGATTAAATAATTGGTCCGTCAATAAGAGATAAAATGAAAACAGAAATGATAACATATTACACGAGAGAAGGTGAATGTGACCAAACGATGAATTGTGTGAATCATATAGTGTTTCGCGCAATACCAAACGATGGCCAAGGCTAGTCCTTTATTCTGTTCTAAACATGGGTCAAGTATAAGAAAGATCCCGTTTTCTACAAATTGGGCGATGAGTAATAAAAGAACATCTGCAAAACAGAAAGTCCAATATCAAAGCAGTTCCTGAAGTGCTTCAAGAAAAAATTAATGAAACTGTAGAACGGCTCAAGACAAAACTACCGAACAGAAACAAAAATGCTGCACCTGCTTTAGAATTTGACGTCCAGATAAGACCTACAAGATATGCAAAAAGTTTATTTGTTTTTAGAAGACTACCAAAAGATATGCGATTATTCTTGTCAAAATCGTTGAAATGATTGTTTAAGAAGACATTTTTTGTTTTTTGGAAGTTAGAACTAGAGAGCATAGAAACAATGTCTATGGCGTACACTGTGTACAGTTTCTTAATAAAAGTGTTACAATATTAATAAGTTAATTCTTGAAAACCCAGCAAATCATTTTGAACAAACAATACCACTTAGTTGCGTCTTTGTAGTATTAGTATACTATTAGTATACTGCAAGACCCCACAGACATAGAGTAATTCTAGTTGAAGCTTATGGGAGAAAATTAGCTTGCACTCTCAGCTTTATCTGTAAAAATAGTTAACATTTTATCCGAGAGTGTAATTCGTGTAAGCTTGAAGTAGAGGTTGTATGGAAGCCCACCAGTGTTCGTAGAACTTACTATGTATTGATCGCAGTTGAAATGATTCCTTTACGACCATCTCCTTAAAACTCATATATAAAGACAACAGGTTTAGCATATTCTCCACCGTAATTGCGGACTTCGATATTATTACACTGTTAACACAGTCTAATCGTTGCATCTGATGCAATTGGGTGCCTAATTAGTGACAAGCATCAAACAATAATTGTATGAGCCAATTTGGACCAAGTCACAGTTGAGTAGCTCAACATATAATTCGGATTCATTCCCCACAAATTTCAAATTGCTCCTCAACGTTGAATTTGTTTAAGATTACTCTGATACATGTCACTGAGAAAAGGAAAGATATAACTTAGTCTTTTTAGGGTTAATTGAGAGTGCTCTTTTACGCTCAAAATATACGGAACCGTGTCGATAAATTTGCTCTGAATCTAATATTTCATTTTTAGTGAAACAACATTTTTTTTACTGATGAAAGATGCGATCAGCGAAGATTGACCATTAAGTAGGTGTTCGTAAAATATTCTGTTCTCTAGGGAATATCCGATGGATACGGTTTTACAATTATCATTAATAAACTTCAAAATTTGTTCTATTGATATGAAGTACAGAAGAGGTCCCAACTATTTCTAAAATTAACTAGACTGAAGCAATACAAGCAACTGCATTGGTGACTGATAACGACTGAGGAATGCGTTTCAGTACTGATAATGAGTCGATGTTCTTCTAAAGCATTGCCATTAGCACGACTATACAGAATGTGTTGATAACTGCTAAAATCTAGTAACAGATGTTTGGGAGCTGTTTGGAATTAGTACAAGACATTGGTTTGTGCTGACAACTATTGGAAGCTATTCGGAGCCTTAATATGTATTGACAAGATTTAGAGAGGTAATGCATTGGAAATAACAGGAAGATAGTAAAAGCGGAAGATATTGTTATCCATTGCTAAGTTCCAAGCTATCGATGGAGGCATTGAGATGAATGGAAATCTAATGAGAACTTTTAAAGGAATTAATAGCTAGTTGACGTTTGATAGAGAGCAACTAAGCCAAATTTTTAACTTTAATTTTTAACTATTTGGCAGTGAAGTGGATAGTGTAGAACAATGTGATGACTCATTTGACACTACGGACGAATGTGAGACCTCAGAAAAAGAAAGTGAAGACGAGAATATTTTGAATATACGTAGAAGACAAAAGAGAAAAAGACCGTTATCGAGTTCAGAAAATAAATGTGATGTTGAGGACCGATGCACCGAAATTGCGGCTCAACACCTGGATGACCGTGATTTTACAATATTTTTAGGGAAATTGTAGGCCCGACAGCATATACCAAACGAAATATTATGAAGGGAAAAGTGAGAACTGCATTTTCTTTGCTTATTG